CGACAAAACATTAACTTTGCCCAGTTTGCTAGGCTTTGGATGAGCAGGAGAATTGCTCGTGTTGGTTGCAACTGCTGTAGAATGTATGGCTTTTGCTGTTGCTGTTGCGGTTGCCTTTGATGTTGAAGCTGCTGCACTTGTGGCCGAGTTGTTGTTAGATGAGGTTACGCCCTCTGCTTCGATCCCAGCCTCTGCTCCATCGCCACCGCCGACTTCCGACTTGAGACGAGTTCCTGAGGTCAATTTGGGCAAACTCGACACCTGCTCATTGGCCTCAGCGCTGCCTCTCTGAGCTTCATTGCCCAGTGGTTGGTGCCTCGAAGACCCGGTTGCCTTGATTTGATCCGACCCATAAACTGCGCTAGGAGAAGAGTTCAAGAGGTCCACCCTGAAAGATGTACAAGCGTGTAGGCAGTCGGGCAAGAAATGGAAGGGAAATTACTCCCAATGAGTGATACCATTAAAGGGAAGTTTTAAAATGTCTTTTATAAAAGGTCTCTCTAAAAAACAATTATTACTGTACTAACATAAGAGTAACCAAGATGAATGTCAAGTCTGATACGAGATTTACGCTATCCTACTCCTCAATTAAAAATGTCATAGAGATCAAGACCAAGATGGTGTCGCTTTATGTTTAATCCAGGCCTTTTTTCGCTGGTTAGAGTTGGTTTAACCTGGTTTTTGCAACTTTGTCATTTTGAAGAACTCGTCTCCTACTGCATCCCCTACCATTGTCGTCATGGCTACGAAGAGTAGCTGGGTTTCGATTAATCTTTTGTCGTGACATTATTGTGGAACCTTTGATTTCATATTGAATAACATTAGTTTCTCTCATCTGAAGACGACTTCTGATTCCCGTTATCCTGCAGCCGTTTTGGACGATAGCGGGCTGAGAGTTTATCCGTCATATGACGAATATCGTCAGAGCTAGAGCTCATTCTTGCTTCATGGCATGATGTTAACTTGAAGCTTTTACAATAAAGAAATCAATTTTATGATGAATGAAAGTTTAGCTCCGTTTGACCCAAAACGAAGGAGGGTGCCTCGTAGACTGTATTATAAATAACGTTGTATTAAACCCAATCGGTTGCATAACTTGGGAAATCATAGGTCGTCTCCAGCTGATAACAACAAATGAAGCTCTCCGTCATCCACTTTCATCCGAAATTAAAGTTTTCATAGCTTTCTCGGCATGCCATGACAGAAAATATACAGGGTCAATTTTTCTACATAAACCTAATTGTATCCTATTTTGTGCAAATATATTCCAAGTGTTAGTGTGGCGTAATCCTCACCACTCCCGATTTCGCATCCTACCCGTAAGGCTTCTGCTTTGCGATCCATTTCAGCTAACTTATATGATCTAACCAATTTAATGCTCTCGATCCCGACCACCCTATCTGTCATAATCGGGGATTCAGGTCCGTGACGGACACTAAAATTGTGACTAAACGCGTGCACCAGCCTAATTAGGAACGGCTTCCAAAATCGCGAATCTCCTGCTTTCAGCCCTCTAATAACCTGCCTGGTTCGAAAGCCCTGATTTGACAGTAATCTTTACTACTGCCTCAGCCATGTTCATGGCGGGAGTGTGCCTTGACTTCAGGCCTGACATTGGGGCATACTATGCAAAACAGATACATATGGCAGAGAGAAAAGGAGGCTTGTAAAAAAGTTAGGCGGACTACTGAGGAAATTAAATATCAAAGAAATTAAAACTTCCTTCAGTCGTGCCATCCTTTCGAGAATTTTCGGATCCTCATTTAGATCAGGCTGCTACAAGGTTTTATGTTCATGTGGTAATGTCTATGTGGGAGAGACCTGCCGACCCAGTCAAATAAAATATGAGAACACAAAATCGCTTGTGAGGGTCTATGGGTCTAAAAAATCTAAGCTCGCTGAACACGTAGTTAACACAGGATACGAAGAGAAATGGAGTTTCGATAAATCTCTTTAGATAATATTCTTAGGGGAACTTTCATTTCGTACAAAAGTGAACGAAGAAGAGATTCGTTGGTCGATCTCACCAGATGAGGACGGATGAATCTCATTGTACTGCAGCCGTTTGG